ATGACGAAGGACCCCGCAATTATCTTATGGAAAACCAGTCTCCATCGAATGGTACAAAACTTTGCTGAATGATAGTCCTCAATGTGTCGATCAAAAAAGTCCATGGGACCTAGGTCTGAAAAACTACTGTTCTAAAGCTACAGCCTTCTGAAGTTATCGAATCCACATACTTGATGACCATCATGTCCAATGATTTACGGGCTAGTAAAAGCAAATATTTCTTTATAAAGTGACCAAACTGGCTATTTGTTGATGTACGCTGAATGCGAATCCGTGGTCAAAATAGCTGTATCATCCTTCAGTCTCCAGAAAATCGGTGAAGCACCTACTGAAGAACAGAGAGAGCGACACGTACTGCTTCAGCGACATTTTATGTTTTTACGCATGCTAAACACTTATCCGTCATCAGCATATCTGCAGCATTCCTCAGTCTTCAGAAAATAGCTGAAGGACCTTCAGAAAACTTGACTTGATGGTCATCGAGCACATAGACTCGATAACTTCAGAAGGCTGTAGCTTCAGAACAGTAGTTTTTCAGACCTAGGTCCCATGGACTTTTTTGATCGACACATTGAGGACTATCATTCGGCAAAGTTTCGTACTATTTGACTGGGACCGGTTTTCCATAAGGATAGTTGCAAGGTCCTCTAAATTCGCAACAATTTATAGGGTTAGGTTTTCCAGGGAAAGGATATGTGCAAAATAAGATAACGTAAGTATGTGTAAGGTGTTCGAAATTCCAGGATCGGCAACTCTCAATTAAACTTTTTATTTTGTAAATTTCTTTTGAAATTTTTTCCTAATGAAATTCCTTTATGTGGGTCTGCACATCATCCTCTAAAAAAACGGTACAGAGCCCCACTCTTATTTGACAGCCCCCACTGGAGACTAGCAAGTTTTTGAACGAAACTTACTAACTGATATAATGCTGAGCTAAGGTTTATCGAGTGCTAGTACAAATTTTGTGTATATTTATGGATTTAGGCAACCCAACATTCTCATTTGTAGTGATACTAAATCGAAGACATAAACTTCGCCTTTCATGTTTATGTTTCCTCCATTCTGGTTTTATCCTTTTCTGAATGATTGTAATAATGAATTTCATTTTGAATATATAATATTTAAATAAATTACTGATTGCTGCTGCCTACTAAGATTTTAAAACCTACTGTTTTTAATCTTTATTTCACAACTATCTGAAAATTTACATAGTATCGTTATAACGAAGCATAAATGTGGTGCTTTTAAAAATATATCTGTATAGTTAGAATTCAAAATGACTTGCTAGTGGACCAACAGTTTTATTAAATATTTATACGTTAATAATTGACATAATTTATTATTTGGTCCCATTAAAAATCATAAATTCAGTCGGTTTATAAATATTTTGAATTAATTATTGTATTCGTCTGGGGACAAATTTGGGGAACGTCTAAATTAACATACAACCAAATATGTTTTACAATGGAAATGCGAATGATTAACATTTAATGTTAATTTAATTTTGAAGGATAAAAGTACAATGCTATTTTGTTTAATGTAGTGGAACAATTATACGTCTTATACTATTTTGGTCAAATTGAAAATCGTTAAAAATTCCTTTGTTTAAAAAGGTTAGTACAATCGTTGTGTGGTTTGGTCCTGCATTTCTGTCTCATATTTTTGAAAAATTTTATCACAAATTTTCTTGCATTAGGGTACACTGTAGATGAGATTCTTGAAGCAAGAAATATTTTATTTGTTGGTGCAAGAAAAAAATTAAATAATACAAAAAACCTATACCTCAGTTTCAAAAAACAGGACATATTAATGAAAATGTCTGCTACTAAGTTTGACACGAAGAGGTCTGATGTCTTATCAAAGATCAACAAGAAAAGTTGATTTATGAGGAATTTTCTTTCATAATGAACAAAAAAGAATTGCTTTAATATAAAGTGTGTTAGATTTGACATGTTTGATTAAATTTCTATAGAAAAGAATATATTTTATAAAAAAGTTTTATCTAACCAATATATCAAATATTATATTTTTTCAACAATTGCGTACTCCATTGCTTTTTTAAATGGAGGAATCAGTTTGGTTTTAAATAGCAACATGTTTCACCTAGTAGCAAGTCCCACTTAAATGAGAATTGTATTAACATGACTAGTTTAGCATTGAAATTAGAGCCAATTTATTCATTACACAGAAATATAATTGCCTTTAAAATGTAGGACAAACTATTAGAGTAATTTTCAAAGAGAAAAACTTGATTAAAAGACAGAATGAGTCCCAATTAGTAACATGACTCAACACACTTTATAATAGACAACTAAATTTGTATTGTATGTTATAAATACATTTTATTAATACGTATTTTGGTGGTTTTATTATAGTATAATTATTATATACTTTGTATTTTGTACTTACAAACATCATTACTTTATCACAATAAAGCTATATTTAAACATGCATATCTTTAATTTTTAATTAATTATCCCTTATACTTATTTGTTTAAAAAAATGTCGATATAATTTAATTGAAATATTTATATTTTTCGTCGCATTTTGTAGCGTGGTCTCTAAATTATGTAGCGTTGGTTATGTGCAAACACGTATTAGACTGAGAAATCTATTTGTATATTTGCAAAAGTAAAAGTTATATCATGTCAAGGTTAAATACTACGACACTACTGTAAATGTTGGATAGGTCAGAAATTAATTCGCATGTGTACTCAAGAAATCTCTGGGTAAAATTTAAATGAGATTAATAAACAAGTAACAATACCGAAAACATACGATGTTAGTAAATTTGTTTACACAGCTGTTTTGTGTGTATTTCGAATTTGTCTTTGAGTCATGTTAAAAAAACTGTTTACATTATAGCTTTTGGTTAAAAGTATAGTTAACTTATGAAAGCTTGGTATTCACCAAATTTTTATGCATAAATGTCTGAAATATAGTTTAATTTGTAAGTTTGACGCGATTTGATGGGATGGTGGGTTGCGAAAGTAGTAGAAGGGAATTAAAATGATTTATTTTTTTTTAAACTGCCATATCTGAGACGTGATTAATCAAAAATAAAAATATAATAGCTATCTTTAGGCAAATACGTGGAGGCACAATTTATTTAACTACATATTTCAAAGAGCCGTGGTTAAATCAGTCACTAGGATTTGCTGTATGAATTATTTCAAGTAACATCACGCGTTTATCACAGACTTTTATTTGCTGTAAAAGAATCAGTTTAAAAAAGTTACAATGCACTTAAAAATAAAACGTCTATTTTGATTAATAATATACAGGGTGCGTCGAAGTACGATATCTCCGTTATTATAGAAGATATCAAAAACAGTTATTTACAAACATTGTAGCCAACTTAAAACTGCCATTTAAAATTTATTTTCGTATATACAGTGGTATTACCAGGGTGAACCAAACATACAATTTTTTAAATGGGACGCCTTATATATTAATTCGAATTAAGATTAGATTAAGTTCACCTTTCCCATGTTTCCAATATAGGGTTTAATTATGTTATACAGGGTATTTCAAAAGTTATGGTCAATTGTATATGAGAATCATTCCCAATTCAGCGTCCTGTATACCCTAAACAGAACAACTTAACAATAATTTTTTGCAGGCATAACTTTTTGATATTGGTACCGTTTTACGAGAAAGTGCTATTTCTTTATTATTGCAACAGTTGAATATAGGGCGAGCTAAAACTCGAGCAGATAATTCTCTAAATTTTTTTAAAATGAATCGCCCTTTATTTTATTTTAAAAACTGAAAATATACTTTGTCATTTCATTTTTATAAAGCATTCCCTATATAAATCATTAATTTCTGAGATATTTGCCATTTAATAACAAAAATAGTTTTTGAAAATATCATATAACAAGTTGGTTATTATAAGAATTTCGTCTTAACGGATACTTTGTAATGTTTTATTGTCACACTGTCATTTGCCCACGGCCAACTTGTTATAATAGGATATAACTATAAGGAATGCTGTATAAAAATGAAAACATAAAATGTATTTTCAGGTTTTAAAATAAAATACAGGGTGATTCATTTAAAAAAATTGAGAAAATTATGTGCTCGATATTCAACTGTTGCAATAATAAAGAAATAGCACTGTCTCGTACAACTGTACCAATATCAAACCTGCCTGCAAAAAAATATTGTTAAAATGTCCTGTCTAGGGTATACAGGACGCTGAAATGGGAATGATTCTAGTATACAATTGACCTTTTGAAATACCCTGTATAACAAAATTAAACCCTATATTGGAAGCATGGGAGAGATGAGCTTAATCTAAATTTGATATAATATATAGGGTGACCATTTAAAAAATAGTAATACGTAACACCCTGTATATACGAAAATAATTTTAAAATGTGCAGTTTTAGTTGGCTACAATTTTTGTAAATAACTTTTTTGATATCTGTTATAATAAATGAGATATCGTACTTAGACGCACTAATGCCGCACCCTGTATATCGATGAAGTATACTTTATTAAATATGACTCAATTAAAAAATGTTATATTTCTGTGGTTTACAATTTTTCAATAAATTCGTGAAACTTGCCACTTGCGTTGGCTTTCAATTCGCTGAAACGGTTAGTTTGAATAATTTACCATTGTATCGATTCCACGGAAAGGGTATAATTACTAAATAATTTTACATTTACAGTTTAAATTGTATTGAACAGTCGTGTGCAATAACATAAAGAAAAAAAGGTTGAATTTACAGTAATTGTTATCTGCCCGAAACTTGCAAAGTTAACTTTTTTAATATCCTTTTGTACAGACGATTTGTTGAATTAACCGAATTGCTACGGAAATATAACGTTACGCAATATGAAAAAGTATATGCCTAGAAACGAATTCTTTTGTTCCCAATTGCCAAAACCCAAAATCAACCAATTCAAGACCACCTGGTACATGTTTGGAGACACATTTTATAAGGCAAAACACATTTGTATTAATATAATAGAAAAAATACAGGACTTACTTATATTTTTCGGTGTAGTGCAGGGACTGTTATCTACTAGAGCTAGTTGTAGATGTTTATGTGCCGATTCATATTCTTGAGTAACTTTAAACATCAATCCCAACCTGAGATTGACTTCATTTGCTCTTTGAAATCCTGGTGACACATACAGTAACTGTTGGAAAGCTTTCACGGCCCTGTAAAACAAACATTGTTTAGGTACAGACATTTTTTTAAACAAATTGGTCACCGTACTAGTGACACTGGTAAAAATGCGTTAGGTTTTGCTAGTTTTATGCCCCTTTCACTGCCCATCTTGGCCTAACTCATTTGTACAGTGTACGGTATTGTGCCAAATTTTTGGTATATTTACGTATTTATGCTGCAAGGTAAGTTAGAATTAAGCATTTCCGATTCAAGAGATAAGAAGAGGAGGCCAAAGAAGAACGTCAATAAATAGGATACGAATGGAACTATGGAGAATAATTATTTATATCAAATTTATATGATCTTTAAATGATAGTTAACAAAAATTTCAGCATCTCAACATTTGATTTCATTTGAGATAGATGTGAATTTCAATAAATTTTAATAAGCATTAAATTAATTAAAATGTAAGAAATTTGTTTACAAGATTTGCCCCTTCGTAAACTTACTTTTCTGTTAAATACAGTCTAAATTTGAAACTAAACCACCGTATATTCATTTTAGCAATTAAATACTGAGGTCTATTGACCTCTTGTACTTTGTGTGCCATATGAGGCGATTAATTTTCTATTATTTGGTCGATAAAGTTCGTTTTTGTTTTGTGAATAAAGGCTAGTTGTTGCCCAAGGGTCATTAATTCGAAATTATAAGTTCCTCATAAAGATAAATATTTATCTTTAGTGATCATAATGTCAACGTTAACCTTTCACATGTGTTTAATTCCTGATCGCTTTTAACACAATTAACATTTAGTCGTAAGTATGCAATTTCATGACGAAATTGTGCCTTTAGATTTAATGAAGCATATAAATACACAGGGCGTTGTAATTATTCCACCGACAAAGTTCTACAGATAATCTGATTGACAATAAGAAAAAAGCTCGGACGTCCATAAAGGCTCCACTTTTGTGATACAGGGTAATAAAGCTTTATTATTTTATTTTAGTGATGTTCATTTGTTTTATACGATTTTTAAGTAATCCATTATAAATCGAAACATTAGTTCATTAGTTTTTTTTTATTTTGTGATAGATTTAACAAAATATGATAATACAACTTATCGCCCTGTATCTGAAAAAAAGAAGCATTTGCACACCACTGTTCATACGAACTTTTTTTCTTAATTTTATTCGAGGCTGTACTATTTTACCACTGGATTAATGCAAAACCCTATACAGGGTGTTTCAGAAATACTTCCCGTAAATACAGGGTGTGATAGTACGACAAAAAAATAAGATTTTTTTGTCTTATGAACTATATGTCTATCTCCTCTTGTTTTTAAGATACATAGCAACAAAATAAAAATTTTTAAATAGAATTTTTACAAAAATTTCCAAACGGCGCGAAATATTTTTATGAAATTTGGTACCTATTTCGGGGTTTTTAAGGATGCCAAATACGCTGGTCTAATTATTTTTTGGTTATTTCATAGAGGGCGCTAGTTATGCTAGATTTCTATTACATTTTAAGTTCTATTTTTTAAGGTTAGGTTTTTTACCATTCGGGCTCCAATTTCTAATGTACAATTTTATTTTCTAAAAATAATGTACTCTTGTAAGGACATGGTTTTCGAGAAAAAAAGGCTTCTAATTAAACTCTTACAATATTACTGTATAAAATAAGTGACTTTTCTCAAAGTAGGTTTATGTCAAAAGTTTTTGATGGATGTCTCATAAACAGCGCATACATTCTTAATAATATTTTAAACTCTAATTAACTTTGTCAAAATAGTGAGTGTAATTAGTCATTAACTACAGTCACTAACAATCACTAAAATTTTGATATAGGGTTAATTATAGTGTAAAATATTACTAAGAATGTATGCGTTGTTTATGAGACATCCATCAATAAGTTTTGACATAAGCCTACTTTGAGGAAAGTCACTTATTTTATACACAGTAATATTGTAAGTTTAATTACAAAGTTTTTTCTCGAAAACCGTCCACATTAGGAAGTTCTAACATTATTTTTAGAAAATAAAATTGTACATTATAAATTGGAGCCCGAATGGTAAAAAACCTAACCTTAAAAAAATTAGAAATTAAAATGTAAGTAAGTAAGTAAGCATTTATTGGTGTTATTACATAAGAAAAATGTTTACACACGTCAAAGAAAAACATGGCCAAAGCATACAATTAAAATACAATTCAAAGAGAAGCACATCATATTATAAAAACACTCATAAAGTACATAAAGTACAGACAACTATAAAATACAAACATTACAATTCGACTTACAATTTAAAATTAGATTAGCAAAATTATGATTTAAAAATTCATCAAGTGTATAAAATGCATTCAATTTAAGAAAGTTTTTCAAGACACCTTTATAATGAATTGGGCATAGATTTTTGACATTGACTGGTAATTTGTTATAAAATCTAATGCAATAATGATTTGTCCCATTTCTAGCTCTGTTCAATCGCAGAAAGTTGTGCCTGATTTGGTTTTTATTCCTGGTTGAATATTCATGAAATGAATTGTTTGACTCAAAACTGATCAGATGTTCTCTAATGAAAACAAGGCATTCAAGAATAAATACACAAGGCAGAGTGAGAACGCCGTATCTAACAAACTGCTTCCTACAGTCAGCTCTATACTGAAGCCCGGCAATGATTCGTATACACCTTCGTTGTAGACTAAAAATTTTTTCTGCATGGCAGGAGTGACCCCAATTAAATATTGAGTAAATCATATTAGAATGAAAAACTGCGTAGTAGGCTGTCAATAAAGTTGCCGTCGAGACAGAATCGGAAAGACTTCTTATAAGAAAAATGATTCTAGATAGTTTCTTGGAAAGCTCAGTGACGTGGGCCTCCCAAGTCATCCTCTGGTCAATACAAACCCCAAGAAACTTGGCCTGAGGGGTGTAATTAGCCATCTCATCCCCCACGTAGCGTAATGAGAACAGAACTGACGATGTTTTGTCATTGTTTAGGAATAATCTGTTTGCACTAAACCACTGTCTGATACTATGGTGAGATATCAAAACGTTATCTTTCAAACTATCGTAATTATTTTCAGTGTTTATAACTGTCGTGTCATCTGCGAAGAGAATAAAATTACAGTGATTATCACTATTTGGCAAATCGTTTATGTATATAAGGAACAACACAGGTCCCAATACGGATCCCTGTGGGACACCATACTTGATGGCCATTTTGTCAGAATTCTTGCCATTAAGATAAACATATTGAAGTCTATTTGTTAGAAATGACTCCACCAAAGAAATGCTCGAGTTCTCAAAGCCATAATAAGACAGTTTTTTCAGTAGGATGTTATGACTGACACAGTCAAACGCCTTTGTCAGGTCATAAAAACTACCATCTGTTATTTTACTGTCCTCAAAATTTGACCTTGAGGTGGTAGACCTGTTGTTACGAAATCCATACTGACAGTCATGAAACAAATCATTACACTCAAAGTACTCGTTTATTTGATTCTTTAAGAGTCGTTCAAAGACTTTACCCAAGATAGATGTTAATGATATTGGCCTATAGTTCGATGGGTCGTCTGTAGGCCCCTTTTTATGGATAGGAATTACTTTCGCTATTTTGAAAACGTCAGGAAAGGTGCTATAGTGAATACACTCATTATATAAATAATTGAGTGGGGACAGAAATATATTTTTTAAGGTTTTGACTATTTTACTATTAATGTCATAAGGGTCTTTAGTCGAACTATTTTTTAGATTATCCAAGACATCTATAACTTCATTGAAACTTACTTTGCGAAACTTAAAATTTGAAAGAGAATTTGGGGATTTTAAATAATCATCAAATACCATATTGGTACTTGGTAGGCCGCTAAGAATATCTTGAGCAATATTGGAAAAGAAGATATTAAATGCTTGGGGATCAATCTTACATTCAGCAGATGATTTAGGTTTCGGTTTATGATCATTACTAATGCTTCACATAGCCGTTTGTGGGTTGCTGGCGTTATTTATGAAGTTATCATTAGCGATCCGTTTGGCTTTAGAAATTTCTCGCCTGTAACTACATCTAAACGATTTGATAGTATTGGTGCTGATAATATTAGGAAATTAAGATCGCATAAGTAATACAGGTGGTCCCTCATATGTTTGAGATGATCATTAAACCAAATTATAGAAGACTTAGAATTTTTTACTAACCTAGATGATTTTATAGGAAAACTTCTGTCTGAGGCTGTGCCAAGAGCCTTAATAAAAATTTCAAATTTTGTATTCGTGTCTATATTGACATCCCTAACAAAAGACCAATCCCAACTCTCAACATATCTATAGAGTTGAAACAACCCAATATTCGTTATAGGCCTGTAGTTAACCCTGGTAATTAGGTTGTCACTTGCACTTGTTAAAAGGGAATTAATCATAATTAGAATACTTGAGTGGTCAGAAATATTAGCGTCATAAACATGAGTAGAAAAGGCATTGCAGTCAAGATTTGTAAAAATATTGTCAAGACAGGATTTACCCCTGGTACATGCAGTGATCGTTTTACTTAAGCCAAATGTAATAGGAATGTAGCATAACTAGCGCCCTCTATGAAATATGCAAAAAATAATTAGACCAGCGTATTTGGCATCCTTAAAAACCCCGGAAAACCAAATTTCATAAAAATATTTCGCACCGTTTGGAAATTTTTGTAAAAATTCCATTTAAAAGATTTTATTTTGTCGCTCTGTATCTCGAAAACAAGAGGCGATAGACATATAGTTCATAAGACAAAAATTCTTATTTTTTGTCGGACTATCACCCCCTGTATTTACGGGAGGTCTTTCTGAAACACCCTGTATAGTAGTTACAACTAATTTGAAGTTGATATTTACACAAAATTAAAATGAAATTGAAAATAACAAATTGAAAACCTCCTATTTTTCTGAATATATACGGGGTATTTTATTTTAGATAAAGTACCGTTCATTAAGAAACAACGTGCGGTTTCTATCAATTGCTATTCACATTATATTCTGCTACTGCTAATGGGCGATTATTTCCGTCTATAAGA